ATTTAATTGTGATAGAGCTATATAATTAGAGTTGTCTCGACCTTTGCATCATGGCACGTTTTTATTTCTCGTCGAATTTCGATTCCCTTGTTTGATTCATGTTTGTACACGTGTAGACTCACGCATATTGCGAAGATCCAGACATAATTCTCTGTGGAAACAAATCCGATCTCGAAGACAAACGAGTTGTTAGTGAACATAAGGCACGGGAATTAGCGGAGAAGCATGGGTAAATAATATAGTACACGTCATTCATTATGTTCTTCATTTATCATGCGATTAATTCGTCCTCGTCATCTTCCTCCATGAGATATCATAGAATGAGAAGTTTTATGTTTCCTCTTCTAAAAACCGAAACCGAATTGTCCTTTATAATTTTATGTACCGACCAATCCTAATCCATCGGAATGATCGAAAGTCATCATATCAAATTGTTTCGTCGTCTATAATTATCGATCAATCATTTTATCCCACTCTCGCTTTCTTCCATTTGCACGATCAAAGATTTTCACACGAAATTGTGATTTATATATGAGTTCGAATCAAGATCGAGGATCTCAATGAGTTGTGCTTCTCAGTTTGGTATACCTGGAAACAAGCGCTGCTACGGGTCAAAACGTGGCACGTGCCGTGGAGATACTTTTGGACCGCGTCATGAGCAGGATGGAAACAACCGTAGACAAGTCGCTGCTACCACACCAAAGAGTGTTGCGATGCCACGAGCGTGACACACCGCCACCCAGCAGTTCATGCTACTGCTGACAATGTCCTTACGCGTAGCTGGATGATTTATTCAGCTAGTAGCGAGGGTTGATCAATTTGTACTACACGAATCTCTCGTCGATACATCTCAAGTTACGTATAATTACGATAAGGCATCGATAATGATGCTGCGTATATCAATTTCGGAGCATTATTATACTATGATTCAAAACTGTTTCGGCTTCAGTTTGAAATATCACCGATCGACTTTCGTATGAGTAAAAAAGAAGGAATAATCTTCGCCATTTACAAATCTGTACATTTCGCGAAACGTATTCACGTGTAAACTGTCGTCTTCCAACAATCGCTTTTCTTGGTACAAAACTCTTTCGAATCGTTGTCTTTCCTTCGCGTCTACGCGAACTTATCGCTGTTATTATCGTACGCACAACGTGTTCAATATATCGTGTTACACGTTCAAAAATTGTGATACGATAAAGTCGCGGTCTTACTGAAGAATCTACCGATTTTCGATATATGACTTGTATTTTTGATGCTATTATTGTGTCTATACCAAAGTTCGTACATCTAGTCGTTATCGTGCTGAGGATGCAATCAAATCGTTAAACATACAGTCGTTCCTGTGTCTGTTGACTTGATAACTGCATTTCGTGAATGTTAAGCTCATTATGAATGAATATCAGGTGTTTATCTATACAAAACTTGTTTCCTCCGATTTTTACACTTGTGACTTACGATTGAATGAGTGATTATATTTATAAATATATACATATATATATATATATATTTGTTGAACCCGAAGGTACAGGGTAGAATGATAACTTTTTTTAGTTATCTGACATGAAAATTGTTAATATTTAAGCTTATTGTGAGAAGATAAAATATTATAGCGTTCTAAGGAAACGAATCTCGAAGTATCGTGAGGGAGTTCGCGCGATGTTTCTCTTAGTGTAATAAGAATTCTGCCAGGTTGTTTGAAATGATAGAGACATTCCAAGTTATTGCCTCATCCAGCGTATTGTGTCATACGTCGACGTAATAAAAGAAGATTGCACGGGTCTTATCTGTTCCGACAATATTTTTCTGCTCATTGTCAGTCTGCGACGATTTCGCGAACGGAGCGAAGTGAAAATGCACGATGATGGGCGCGATGATCAGTTATACTAAATGTGCTTTTGATTATCAATTGTATCCTGAAACTGTAGCTTCACTCGAAGATGCACATAGATATGTGATTACGTTTTCGAGATTTTCCATTGTACTATATACCAAGTACAGTTTTTGTCTATCGAACAATTCCAATCTAAGGGACGTAAAACCTATGTATACGTATTTATATAATAATCTTACAAGAGTTCCGAAAAAGAATTTCCTTCAGATATTTATAATACCGAATTTACAAATTTCGAGTGTGTGAGTTTTCGTTATAAAATTGAAACAGCAGTGGTTCTGAACAGATTTCTGATACAATCAATCAGACACTTCGTGCGAGAATTCAATGTAGGTCGTCTTATCAGGTGAGAAATCATCCGATTTTACCACTGCACGGAACGTAAGCAAATAGCTACTTCGCACGGAACGTAAAGCAAATAATTTTGCGCCGGTTGAATCAGCACCGACAGGTGTTCGTTGCTTGTTCTTGAAAATAAATGCAAACCGATCAAGCAGCTGGAAAATAGCTTTGGTCGGTGAGACTTGGTTTCATCAATAACAGGGAAAACAGGCAACCACGGTTGGCTCGCTCGGAAACTTTAACGTGAAAACTTCCATTATGGAAGTTTGATCAAAATTTCCGATCGGCCTGCGTTATTAATCAGTAATTTATACGCGACGTTGTTACTATTTACGATTACGTGTGCTTTTTAATCCCGACTGGATCGTTTCTACTGCGTTTTGTCAGTGAAAAGAGCTTTCATAATCTGTAACATGTTTAAATACACTCAATTAAGATAAATATGTTGAATTAATAAAGAGTGGCATTTATAATGGAACACAAAGTTAGTAGCTTTAGTCCATATCTCTTCCATGTTGTTTCCCTTTGCACGAATAATCCTTTTAACAGCCGGCCATTTATTAAATTGCTACAGTAAGAGCGTGAATTTCCACAACAATGAATCTAGTAACTGGTTTTTCTTTTTTTGTTCACCGTGCCATGTAATTGGAATCGCAATTAGTTCGGTCAAAGGATTTGAAACAAAAGCCAAATCCTCTATTTTGATAAGATATTTCATTGTGTTTCCACTTTGCGTTTGAATTCTCTTAATTTTTCGTATTAGCGGCTGGTCTTTCGCATCTTTCTCGAACAGAGAATTATGTCTCGTCTTCTGCAAGCTCGACATGCGCATATCTATACAACGTTCAAGCTCTGTGTCTCCGTTAGAAGCTCGTCGGCCAATCGAACGATTAGGCCTCCTTCGCTTTGTCGACAATATGTCGACGATATAGCTAACGACCACTTTGAGACCAGCAGTTAGGTCTTACACTGCCTCTATGCCGTCCTAATTATTGCGCGGATTCCCAAGTTCATTTGCTAACGGCTAGACAAAGGGATCGCTGCCTGTTCAAAGGGTAGACTGCCGAAAGGATGCTATTTATCGGACCGTGGTTGCCAGACATTGGCATCTCTTTCCCTTTCAATCGACCCTTGGTCCTTGTTCGTACGCCTCCGCTCTCTGTGTTCACGGTGTTCCGACGCGTTTGAAATTTCGCTCAAGGTGAGGACAAGTTTCCCCGACACGCAGTCGCGGTGTCAAGAACTTCTAACCAGAAGTTTCGCGAGTTAGATATCGCGATGAAATGGTTCGCTCCCTTCGGCCTACATCTCGTAAAACGGAGTTTTAAGCGACGGAACGTCTGATTTCGCGAAGTCGTTTACATCGTTTGCTTTATCCGCGTTCAGTTTGCCCTAAATGCTCACGAATATGATCGGTAATCTTAACCAACGCTTCGGTCTCCACGTCTTCGGTGCCTCTGCGAGCGGGACCAAGTTTCTCCTTGAACAATGTCAGTTGCAAATAAACCGGGAAACCGATGGGCGTTATCAAAAGCAAGTCTCGCCAAGGAACCGGAAGTTTCGGAATCGCGTTACAGTTTACGTATGAACGCGCGGTTTCGTCCATGAAATCCTCGAACTCATGGCAACTCGGAATGCCGCGTTGTAGATAAAAGATGTTGAGCTGTTGGTTTCACAAGCGTGTTAAAAGCACTGATCGAGAACTCGAACGGTGACTTATTGCTATGAATCCAACAACGAGCATATAAGTTATTGGGTTCAGGTTGGTGTTACCGAAACAGAATTCGTCTTTTCGGTTACATGGGTCAAAGATCGTCTGCTCACGTGAGCAGATCTGGACGTCGTCGCTACATAGGATATCGCGTCCTCGGTCTACTTGTCAGAGGGGTCAGAGGAAAGAGGAACAATTCCAGTTAGATATTGACCAGCCAGATAAAACGAAATTACCCAGAGACCTCGAGTATCGCCGGACGTTTGGAATCGGTCCGTTTTCTGGGTCAGTGCTACTGCTTGTTGATCTATAACTTCCGACTAATACGTCATCATGGAAGGATGGGCTTGCCAGAGATGATCGAATCGATACCAAGAATGATCCACTGACCTTTAACTTTGATCTCCTACGATTTTAGAACCACACGACCCACATTAATTCAGTTATCGCAGGAAGCTATTAAATAAATCATTTTACTCGCTTCTTTAATTTGAGGAAAAGTTACAGACGTTAAGATCTTCCAGATTAGTTTTCTGTATATTTTATTTCAACTCTTAATCGCATGATACATTCAATTTTCTGATTGTTCGAGTCGATCAATTAAATCTCGTAAATAGAAAACTGATTTCTTGAAGACAGCTAGACGTTCGTTGAACACGATAGGTAATCAGAAATGTTCACAACTCGCAAAGTACACGCCATTTGTCACTCTAAAAATAACATCGTGCGACGCAATCAACTCGGTGAAATGGTCGTTTTGGCTCTCGGAAAAACTAAATTCCCCGCTCGAACTAGACCAGATAAACCGTTGACAAATTGCACGTATTGAGCCGACCCGGAAATTGCTGCGTGCGGGAGGAGCTTGAAAAATTAGACATTGCCCGCCGGAAGTTACCGCGAGGACGGCCAATCGCTGCTACTTACGTCCGTCGATTTCGGTTCCTTTCAGTCGAACCTGGGAGGAAGTAATGTTGAAAAATGACACCAACGACCGGGTTTCCAATCTCTGCGAATACTTCCTTCAAAAGGAAAATTTCGCTCCATTTCTCGGCTAAAACATTCATTCGATCGCCGCGCAAAAGATTTTCCACCGGGTCACGTTTGTTCACGCACTATCGAGGTGATTCAAATTCCCGCCGGATATGCAAAACACCGGGGATGCAACTTTCCGCAGCCGCGCACTTTTATTGCTGCTTTTATCCTCCTCGGAACTCGCGATCGGTCCGACGCCCGGTATCATTCCGCTGCCTTTCTCGCCGGCAACTTTTCCATTCTCCATTGTCCGGAGGTATCGCTGCGCGGATTTACCGGGAGAAAGAAAGAAAGAAGGCGGCCAGCCGCATTTCGAAGCAGCCGGCAGGCGGCCGCGCGCCGTTTATGATTCCCCGGGCTACCCTAAAACAAAGCGGAAGTGGAATAAGAAGCAGTCGATCCGGTTTGGCCAACTTTCTCTCGCGGTCGTGAGACTTTTTCTAGATCGTTTCGCGGGCTCGAAAGAGGGCAACCGATAAGGATAACGATCCCAACGGAAACGTGACGTTAATTGGAAGAAGCATCCCTCCCTCTGCCCCGCGGAGCCATCCCCCGATTTCCTCCCCGAGTCCTGGCGCCTGAAAGGAGCGGGCTCTGACGAAACGGGGAATCTTTAATTGTTTTCTACGAGGCGAGAATAATTTCTCCTTTCCCTTCGCTTTTTCTCGTTACATCGTTACCTCTGGTCCGAAGCGTGAAGATTAAAACTGATTGCCATCGTCTGTTGGGCGGTCTGTCGGGTTTTGAAAGAGGAACCATCGAGGAACCTCGATAGATTTGAAAAAGTTAGGTATTTTAAAAGAAAGAAAGTAATATCTGAGAAATTAAGCGGCTAAAATTGAGAGAGGGTATGTTGATGGATATTTTGTTCGATAATAATTATTGGGTAATATTGGTAGGAACGATTTTCAGTTTTATGAAAGAGGAGCTAGGAAACCGAATGAAGTCGATTAACGGAATTTGAGGAAGACCTCATTTCACGAGAATGAAAGGTACGCTGTTCGGCTGAAATAATAATGCCGGCGATCGTTTAGATTGAATTTGCATTAGCGAACAGTGCGCCACGGGACTCGGCTACACTCTCGAAATTTTCCCGATCGAGAAATAATTCGATCGCCCGGCTATATTTAAATCTCGGCGTTTGACAGGTACCGGAAGTTTCCTCGTTTTAACCAACGGTAGAGCGGAGCAAGTACGGGGAAAGAGAGCAAGGGTGGAGTGAGAGAGACAGAACTTTTGTCTGGACAAATGAAAAATTACTAGCGAGCATGGATAAAATTTCCATTATTTGCATATCGGCATCGATAGGAAATCGTTTAGCATCGATGGGAAAACATATTTTTATCAGTCTGACGTGAAATGAAAACGAACTGAAATTCAATGGCACCTCTTCCGGCAGAGCCGAAAGAGTTCGTCAGGCCAGGAGTGTTACAGGGATTCTTGAAATGTAGAACTGGTAATATTTATTCATAAATGCAAAAGCGAAAGTTTAATTCATGTGGCTGCAGGGGTTTCGATTAATATAGAATCAATAACGGGAATTCTCGGAATTGCAAACAGTAGGTAATTTAGTTTCATGTGGACATAGATAGATAGATTCCTTTGAGCGTTGTAAACTTCTGTGAACTATGACGCTTACCATAACTCAACGGAACGTAAAAACTAAAGGGATCGCCGTTGGTCAGATCGTTTCATAACGAATGAGGGACTCGAAAAAACAGGCGGTCGGTGAGAATTCTTTCATCCGTCGAATAGTTCAAACGAAAAAGCTTCTCTGTCTCTAGCTAGTTTCTCATGTTCCACAATCTCCGGGCGAAACAATCAAGTGCATCGCATTGTCTCACGGGACAGACGGGACGAGGATGACGACAGACCTGTGAACTACGTAGAATAGTCCTTTCTTTCTCTGGGAAGGTACGAGACGTCTGTAGCTATGCATCGATCCTCCTCCTTTTTCGATTGTCTCGCAGACGGGTTGTATCCGCACTGGCAAGATTGTTCATTGATTCACGGATTGAGCGGAAACTAGGCGGAAACTTGGCTTCACTGAGTTTGAGCAAAGGTACTGAGGATTTAAAGCATACGATTTACCAGGGAATATTCATTATTAGTCGTACAAAAGATAATTGTTCTTTTAGAAACGAAGGCTTTTTATCGTAGCATAAATTACATTCAGAATACAGCAGATAATCTTCCATTCAAAGAATTGTACGTAAATTACATAGAACTCCTAATCGTTTTAAAATGCAACGATATTTTTGGAGAGGGAGAACGGAGCGCTTTTTAATACTTTCTTCTATGAAATTCAATGATCGTTGAGATCTTATTGAGTTCATAAGATCTTCGGATCTTAGAGAGAATTTCATCGTTCCGAGGCAAGCAAAACCGTGGGAAAAATTGCACGTAGATGACGTGTACGAGTATGTATAACGAACGGGGTCGCATCGTTAAGAAGCAACGACGAAGTATGCATGATCCGAGATCGAATCACCGTGCCAGGAGGATCGTTGGGCGATTTCCATATCTCCGCAGTGATCCTCCCTCTCCGCTTGTGACTTTCATCGCTCGTGAAACGCTATAGGAAGCGGGCGGTCCTACAGAGACGTTTTATTTCGACATTATAAGCTATTTCGCTTCGAAATGGGACAAATGGAATTGCCGTGGCCACCTAGCAACGGTCTGGCGTGCCTTCGACCGAACGCTCGTGGCCACCTTTGCCAGAACCGATTGCGATC